GAACTATCTTCTGGGTATACTTTTTAATTAAACAAATAGAAGGCTAGGAACCTTTATGCTGCTAAAGGTAATAATAATCTGGTAACAATAACTTGGAAGGTTTTCCAAGTGGACCTTGGAAAATCTGGTCCACTGAGTCGCACAACTGCAGCTTACGAAATTCTTGCTATAACAAGAAAGCTCCTGAAACTGAATAAGCATGTTCTATGTCAGAGAGCTATCTACTGTCAAAATCACAAGGGAGTGAAAGTGTGAGTAACTGAAATTATTCCAGCTCTGAATAGGTCTCTTTAAAGGACTCTGTAACTCAGACTCGGGTGAATGCTCTAGAAACTATAACTGTCTCAGTCACATACGGTACAGTAGACACGCTTCTGCTTTCCTTCTCTAATCTCAAGAAAGGGCACAAGGCACATCAGAGAAGCATATGTATTTCTGTGGCCAGGAAATTCTTAAAATTTGCTTTGAGGAGTTAGAGAACAGATCTGTTCGTTAAAATGGGAATATTTAAGAGAGTAGAGTCAAAGAGATGAGTTGGAGCAGTAAGAGTCTCCTTGGTCTCTTAGTTTGAAGAATGTCAGTCTGGGTACTGATATGTTTGAACTTTCCAGGGAGGGGGAGTACAACAGACATGTAAATCTGATGTCAGATGCACAAGTTAGCCAGCAAAATGAAGAGGTGGTTGCTTCTTTGGAAGCAATGCATACTCTAAGACGTAAAGGGGTTGAATGACTTTAGCTGTAAGATGTTTTACAAATGTGATTGAAACAATGTAAAAAAAGGAAAAAGGAGGCTACAACATGGTTGGTGTCCACAAAGTTCTCTAGTGACCTAATGTATTATCTGTCAGGCAGAATATAGTAGTTTGTATCCTCGTGTTTTAATCTAACAATGTTTTGATATTTAGTTGGCTTCATCTGTGCAATATTTTTATTTGGAGACCCCAGTCTTCATACAGCAACCTCCTGTAAGAAACTATGCACGTTTGCACTTCCAGTTGGCCTGTGTAATTGTTTAGGACTGAAATGGCCTATGTACACCATTGGGCTTCAAGTACATTATTCTAAATAAAATCCAGTTTCCAAGCAAGTATTTACTAAAGTTTCTTTTTAATAGGCTTTTACAATTCTGTGCGATGTGTTGATGATCTTCAGTCATCAGATTATGACAGGAGGACGTGACATGTTGGAGCCACTTGTTTACACTCCTGATTCTTCACTGCAATCTGAGCTACTCAGTTTTATTTTGGATCATGTCTTCATTGATCAGGATGATGATAATAATAGTGCAGGTTTGTACAAAACTTAGGTTTCCTTTACATTATTTGCCCTTCTTATTAATAAATTTGTTTGCTTATGCTTTTTTCTGGTTTTTACTCTTTTTTTTTTTTCTTTTTTTCTTTTTTTCTGACATTGAGAGTTGTACATGGGCGCAGAGGAAGGTTTGTCTCTTAAAAGTCAACAGTCAATGACGGCATTTTATGTTTTGGGGACACATAGGAAAACTGTGGTAAGGGTTTGGTTTGATAGGCACAAATATATATGTCTCTGTACCAGGAAAAAAGACTTGTCAGTGAGCAATGAAGTGCACTGCTGTCAGAATTGAGATTTGATTTTCTGAATCCTGACCATTAGCCCACAGGACTGATATACACTGATTAAATATGAAGTATTTAAATACGATGGTTTTAATGTTCTGAACTCTTTCTAGATGGACAGCAGGATGATGAAGCTAGCAAAATTGAAGCATTGCACAAAAGAAGAAATCTACTTGCAGCTTTCTGTAAACTCATTGTATATACTGTGGTGGAAATGAATACAGCTGCAGACATTTTCAAGCAATACATGAAGGTAAATCTGAAGCCTAGTGTAATGATACTTCGTAAAATGATTAGAATACAGTAGTTGTGGATTTTGTAATTATCTTTTTTTTTTTTTACCATACAAGATAACTGATTCAAAATGTGAAGAATTCAAAACCCCGTAGTTGGTACATTGTAGGCCCTTAAAAGTTCTTTTCCACAATAAGGGAAAAAATGTCCGAGATCAGTTTCACAGTTCCAGTGGGTGGGTAATGGGGAGGGAGGAAGGAAACCTGATAATGATTTTTACATTGTTTTTAAAAGATTTATTTTCTTACACTGATGGTATATTTTTAATATAGTGATTAGTAGGCTTCTTGAGAATCTTTCCACAAAAGTCAACTCAATGGTGTCTAGCCTCATCATGTCTAGCCCCCACCACGTGTCTTTATATGAGTTCACATTTTGTGAACATAATAAAGCTTTGCTCCTTGGTGGTTACCTTAAAAAAATTTAAATTTGGGCAGCCTGCTTTTGTCTGAGTGCTGTACATGTATTTTGAATCTCTAAATAATTAGTTGGGTCTTTATTGTACCCGAAATAGTTAAAGAGCTGAACAGGCAGCTATCTTCACTGGAAGAATTATGGCTGCGGTGCTATCCATAAGTGCTTCCTTTCAGCAGAGAAAATAGAAAGCCTCCCCACCAGCGTTATAGGAGTTACTAAAAAGATTAGATTCTCATCTTCTACCCTGAAGGGGGGAACACATGTTACTAACAAATGTGTTATGGCCTTGAAGATAAATAGGTCATTCTGCCTCTAAAGTAATACTAACAAGAAGAATGAAAAGAAGTGGATATACTCTTTCTGACTGGAGGGTTTTTTATGATTTTGGAGGGGTTTTAGGGAATCATTTTGATGATGTTATCATGAACATGTTAGGTTTTTTTCTTTTGAAAGTGTTCACGTTTTTTTAAAATAGCAAATCCTAGATGATGTTTTCTGAAGAATCTAGTAGTTGTAAAAATTGAAAGTTAACCTGTTTTTGTTTTTTTTATTTTCCCTAGTATTACAATGACTATGGTGATATTATTAAAGAAACGATGAGTAAAACAAGACAGATAGACAAAATCCAGTGTGCTAAAACACTTATTCTTAGCTTGCAGCAGGTAAGAATGAGTTACAATATTTTTATGCATGAAATTCCATTCTGTACATCATGTCCCGTTGTTTGTTAGTGTGAGGTATTAATGAAGAAGTTCTTATGGAAGGAAGAGATAAATAGGTCTAAATTGAAGCTCATTTTCTGCAACTATTTGAATAACTGCCAGAAGTCTTCCAATACTTACCAAATACTGCGCTACAAAAACTTTGTGAGAAGTTGATCAATATGAAACAAATGTAACTGTCTGATACCTTCCTAACTCTAAACTAATAGTTTGAGGCGAGTGTTCAGAAACATGTTGTGAAACTGCTAGTTTACTTCTCATGAGCATATAAACAAGGGAAAGCACTTCCTGCCTGTGTGGTGGGTTTTTTTTGTTTGTTTTGCTGTAGGTTTTTTTGTTGGTGGTTTTTTGAGTTTGCTTTTCTAACTATTCTGAGAAGTAATGGGAAGTTGTAGTAATTCAGTATTTCTTAATGTTTGGTAGGGGCTTCACCCATCTTTGAAATTAAAACATGATTTAATGCTCTCTTCAGTAAATGAGCTTGTTTGTGTGAAGACCTGATGAATTCAGGCGAGGTCAGAGTCGGATTCATCTGCTCACATGAACCATCTGCATGAATCTTATTTACAGTATCAGAACAATAAAGCCATATTTCTACAAATCACTGTAATCCAACATAGATCTCTGCTATTGTTGAAAGGGAAAATGTACCCCAATTTGTGCCCTCTCTGCCCCCACCTGGTTTTTTTTTTTTTTGAGTAGAGATCGTAGAGCCACATAGTAGATATAGATCTAGATAATGATCCTGGTTGAGAACTAACCAGAAAAAGTCCTTAATGAAGCCACTAAGCTGGTTTATGTATATGGTTACTGCCAGTATGAGGGAGGATGAAGCCCTTCCTTCAGATAGCAGCGTGAAGTAGTGGTGGAACTGCAACATAAAATACGCAACTAAATACTCCTACAGTTTTTGCTGACTTTTAACCAGAGTTCACAATTTATTGTGATAATTGGGTTAATGCTATCCTTACTAGTCTTTTCTGTCTTGTGAATAACCAGCCCCTTATATTTTAAAGGGCAGACAGAGGAAGTGAATGTAGTAAGTACAATGACACATGTAACAAGGAGGCCGTTATACAATCCTAATATGACAAAAAAAAAGTAACATGGAAAACAAACAACCCCCCCCCACAAACATGTGAAGTTAAGCATGTAACTAGCATATTTTTCTAGGAAAACTTCTTCAAAACCAGAGAAGAAATACTAGAAGTGATAGTGGATAAACGGAATAACTAAGTTGCAGTGAGCTACACCAACATAAAAGAAAAGTATGCAACTATGTGCCAAAACGTTTCTGTAAATGAAAAGTTAATGTTTGTAGCCCTAGTAAATTTGGTTTTGGTTTATTCCTTGTTATATGAAAGTGAAGGGTGAGTTATACAAACTTAGAAAATAATAGAATAATTGACTGTTGAAGATAATTCAGTCCAATTCAGTAGGATGAGAAAGGGATTCATCAAATCGAAAAAGGATTGTAAAGTTCAGAGTGTTCAGCTTTGCCATTTATTGATGAATACTTAAAAGTGTGATCCTCAGTGGCAAAGTTTCTCATGTCTTCGGCAACTTCCCTGAAGACATGTTTCCATTTTAGAATTTCTTCATTATACTTGTAGTTTGAAAAGATAAAAAAGAAGAATTAGAAAATAGTAGTTTGACAAACTGTGATAGTAAGGACCAGGTTAGAATTTACCCCGTTTATTTCTTCTTGGTTAGTGTACATATCAGCGTATCCTACTAATTTTTAGCATTCTCAACTGTATAACACCTCATTTAAGGAGGTGCCGAAACCTGTCATCCAACATACTTAAACTTTGACACATGCTTGGGCAGTGTGCATTTCAAGGATTAACTCTGAAGTGCAGAGTTTTCAGGGGTAGCTTTGGCTTGGCTTTCCTAAACCTCCATGTTTGTCTTTTGGAGTTCTCAGATTAAGAAAAAAAAGCTGTAAAACACTTAGTGAAACTTACCTGTGTGTCAGTTGGTCTAAAGTTTGACATAATCTTTTAATAAATGAAAATCTCCCTTTTATTTTCCTACAGCTTTTCAATGAAATGATTCAAGAAAATGGTTATAATTTCGACAGATCATCACCAACATTCAGTGGCATAAAGGAACTTGCTCGACGTTTTGCTTTAACGTTTGGACTGGATCAGTTGAAAACAAGAGAAGCTATTGCTATGTTACACAAGTAATTGTGTACTTTATATTACTTCCCTTTTTGGAAACTCTTCTTGACTAACATTAAAATATCTTTTCAGTCTTTCAAAATCAGTTTGTTAATACAAAACGCATCAGCACTAGAGACAGTATAGCCTGTTTGTAAATTCCGAGATAACTGCATTTTATCCCTGAATTAATCCAAATGTTAAATAATGTTGATGTTCTTCAGCATCATTGTATAAGTTTGTAAATGACAGCAGTGTTGATGCTATCATCGAAAAGTGTTTTTAATCTCTTACCTGTAACAGTAAGAATCAATCTACTTCATTGTCATGCTGTGGTCATGTTGGCCTCATGCCGAAAACTTGACACGCAAGGTAGAAACGTCATGATAGACAGAGTATGTCTGGAATCAAATTATGAGTAGTGCTTGCTTTTTTCCCCCAAAATACGGAAGCATCAAATTATTGCTTTCTTGATGGTAGAGGAAAGGCGTTCAGTTTTGATAGCTCACAATGCTTAGAACTTTTTCTTTAGGTTGTGCTTTATGTGACTTAATTTTTAACTTTTTCTTAGGGATGGCATAGAATTTGCTTTTAAGGAGCCTAATCCGCAAGGTGAGAGCCACCCACCATTAAACTTGGCGTTCCTTGATATTCTGAGTGAGTTCTCCTCCAAACTTCTCAGACAAGACAAAAGAACAGTGTAAGTATTTTCTTAGTATTCTTAATATTTGTAATGGTAACCATAAAAGACATGCACCTCTGTAAATATTATTCATGTGTACTGCATTCACCTAAAGTGGAATCTTCAACACATTAAGATAATTTTACACTAATGCAGTCAAGTATAATAACAAAGGGTAAATTGTATTTATCCTTGTTATTCTTATTTTATGGTGGATGAACAGAAAACATTCTGGATTTAGTGTTGTCAGGCCTTTTTGTTAACTAGATGAGGAACATAGCATGGCATGTTAACATCTTGTTACAGATATATTGCATCTTTGTAATTATTTTTTTCTATTTAAAGGTATGTTTACTTGGAGAAGTTTATGACCTTTCAGATGTCTCTACGAAGAGAAGATGTGTGGCTTCCTCTCATGTCCTACAGAAACTCTTTATTAGCTGGTGGGGATGATGATACTATGTCAGTGATTAGTGGAATTAGTAGTCGAGGATCTACAGTAAGAAATAAGAAGACAAAGCCAGCGACAGGAAAACGGAAAGTACCTGAAGGTATAACTGTTCTCATCTTAAAATTTGCTAGAGTAGACTAGTGTCTGCTACACGCACTACATGTGTCAATCTCTATTTGTTAGCTGGGCTGAATTCATATGCTTTAATGTATTTTTTTTCAAAACAGGATAACTTCTGTGCATGTATATGTTTTAGTGAGAAAACTATTCATTTGAAGAGTCTGAAAACCATAACACTGATTCACAGAAGAAAATAAAGGCGCTGTACTGTGTTAAGTCACGGAATATAAAAGTATTTTACTCTGGGCAGTGGTTATGAATCCAGGCCTTTTGGCCTAAGACTTTGTGGCAAAACACAAAGAAATTGATTCTCAGTAAGCAGAAAGTACATGCATTTAAGTTGTGTTTAAACATTCAAGTTTTAGACCAGTTTGAAAAACTTTACTGATGTCCTGTTTCCTGCCAGCTGAAGAAAGCAGCAGTAGTGACAGTATGTGGCTGAACAGGGAGCAGACAATGCACACACCAGTCATGATGCAGACACCTCAGCTTACTTCCACAATAATGAGGGAGCCCAAGAGATTGCGACCTGAAGAAAATTATATGGGTGTCTATCCTATGCAGCCTGAACACCATCAAGCTCCACTTGATTACAAGTACGTAGATGAGTAGGTCTGCTTTGTGTTAGTGTTCATACACAAAACCAGTTCATGTTTAAAATAGAATAATGGTCTTTTTAAGCACGCAAGTAACGTGGATGTTGGCTCAAAGGCAACAGGAAGAAGCCGCGCGACAACAACAGGAGAGGGCAGCGATGAACTACGTGAAGCTGAGAACCAACTTGCAACACGCCATGTGAGTGAGAGTGAAATGCTCCTTTGGTGGTTTGGGGAGGAGAGGGTTTATTAATTATAGTGTTACTCCTTTATCTTTTAAGAGGGATACATGTTCTAGTTCTTGAATAGTGTTTTTCTTTGGCTTAAAATTTTAAGTTACCTTAGAAAAACAGTGGTAAAAGTGCATGGCGATGCATTTAGCAGAATAGATCTGTTTAATTTCTTACTTATTTTGAATCATATAATGGTTTGCGTTGGAAAAGACCTTACAGATCATCTAGTTCCATCCCCCCTGCCATGGGCAGGGACACCTACCACTAGACCAGGTTGTTCAAAGCTCCATCCTGCCTGGTCTTGCACACTTCCAGGGATGAGGCATCCACAGCTTCTCCGGGCAATGTGTTCCAGTGTCTCACCACCCTCACAGTAAAGAATTTCTTCCTAATGTCTAATCTAAATCTACCCTCTTTCAGTCTAAAACTATTATCCCTTGTCCTACTGACACACTCCCTGATAAAGAGTCCCACCCCATCTTTCCTCTAGGCCCTTTTTAGGTACTGGAAAGGGGCTCTAAGGTCTCCCTGGAGCCTTCTCTTCTCCAGGCATCTCCTTCGTAGAGGTGTTTCAGCTTTCTGATCACCTTTGCAGCCCTCCTCTGGACTTGCTCCAACAGCGAGTTTATGTCCTTATGTTGCAGTCAACCTAAGTACTGTGGGATGCTGTACTCCAGGTGGGGTATTACCAGAGTGGAATGGAGGGGCAAAATCACCTCCCTCAACCTGCTGGCCACGCTTCTTTTGATGCAGCCCAGGATGCAGTTGGCTTTCTGGGCTGCAAGTGCACATTGCTGGCTCACGTTGAGCCTCTCATCAGTCAACACCACCAAGTCATTCTCAGGGCTGCTTTCAGTCCGTTCTCTGCCCAGCCTGTGTTTGTGCTTGGGATTGTCCTGACCCACATGCAGGACCTTTTACTTGGCCTTGTTGAACTTCATGAGGTTTGCATAGGCCCGCCTCTCAGGCCTGTCTGGATCCCTCTGGAGATGGCATCCCTTCCCTCCAGCGTGTTGACCACACGACACAGCTTGGTGTCATTGGCAAAATTGTTCAGAGTGCAGTTAATCCCACTGTCCATGTTGAGGACAAAGATCTTGAACAGCACTGGTCCCAGTACCAACTCATGAGGAATGCCACTTGTCACTGGTCTACACTTGGACATCAAGCCGTTGACCGCAATTTGTGAATGCGACTATCCAGGTGATTCCTTATCCACCAAGTGGTCCATCTATCAAATCCATGTCTCTCCAGTTTAGAGACAAGAGTATCATGCGAGGCAGTGTTGTGACATTGACAGTGTCAAATGCTTTGCACAAGTCCAGATAGATGACATCAATTGCTCTTCTGTTATCTACCAACATCATTGTAGAAGGCCCCCAGATCTGTCAGGCATGATTTGCCCTTAGTGAAGCCATGTTGGCTGTCACTGATCACCTTCTTACTTTCCATGTCCCTTTGCCAAGTTTCCAGGAGGATCTCTTCCATGATCTGTATTCCTCCCAGGCTACCTGTTCTTGCTTCCACCCTCTGTAGGCTTCCTTTTTCTGTTTGTGTGTCTAGGAGTTCCTTGTTGATCCATGCAGGCCTCCTGGCATTTTTGCCTGATTTTCTCTTTGTTGGGATGCATCACTCCTCAGCTTGGAGGAGTTAATCCTTGAATATTAACCAGCTTTCCTGGGCCCCTCTTCCCCTCCAGAGCTTTATCCCACAGCACTCTGCCAAGCAGATCCCTGAAGAGACCAAAGTCTGCTCTCCTGAAATCCAACGTAGTGAGCTTGCTGTGCCCCCTCCTCACTGCCCTAAGGATCTTGAACTCCACCATTTCATGGTCATAGCACCCAAGACTACCCTTGAGCTTCAGTTGAGCTCAAATGCCAGAAAAATTAAATAGTAGTGAGTTTTGTAATAAAGGGAACTGGTTGTTGAACTGAACGCTATCTGTGGCAGATAATGGAACATGTGAAACATCATGTATTCCTAACTGCAGAATCATTTTTAGAAATGAACATTAAAAAAGTTGTTCAGTGTGTGAAGCAGAAAGTTTCTGCTCAGTTTAATTCCACTGTTACTTTCTTCTTTGGCTTCAGAGTTGTAAGTTTAAAGTTCAGCTGGTGGGTTTTTTTATATTATTATTTAAACAAGAGTATTCCTTTTAGAGAAACTCCAGTCTTAGCATTTCTGTGATCGGTACAGATTTTGTCTGATCTAAACTGACACCAAAGTTGTGAGGAATCTTGTAATACCAGTTTTGGTAGAACTTCCCAACCCAAACACGGAAAACTTATGAAGTCTTCCGTATTGTGAACAAAGATGAAGACAGTCTAATGTTTCTTAAATTAATATTGTCCCTCAGAGGTCATACACTCTAACTGTAGTGTCACTTGCTTCACTGTGGTTCATCACAAGTGCATTTTGACAGGCTAATGAAATTACGTTCCAGAGTTTTTCTAGCTTAAGAGGGGAAGACTAGTCTTAGAACTTCTGCTTTAATGAAGACTATGTGGTTCTACAGAAGAAAAGTACAAGTTGTTTATTAAAACCAGTGAATGTACATATTGAGGAGCTTTACATCCTTCCCCTACATGTTTTTTATTCTTTAATACCAGTACTTCATGTAACACAATTTCAGTGTTGGTGGTTGCTTTTTTTTTTTTTACTATAGTGACACCAGTTAGTATAATTAGAATGACTCCTAACTCTTCTCATAAGGTTTGATGTTGCATGTAGAAGTGGCAAGGAAAGAGGATGAAGGACTGTGTGGAAGTGTCTGAAAATGGATTTATGCATCCACTTTATTGCAAAGACATTCTTCCTTGCCTTGACGTAAGGCAGGAAGAGTTTTTCTTTAAGTGGCAAAAGTTCTTTCTCACTTGAGCATAAATACTTGCATGGAAATCTTTGAATTTGGTGTGGTTTTAATCTGCTTATCAGTTCCTTCAGCCTCTCAGAATATCCATTTAGAGATGTACCACAAAGTTCCTAAGCTGATCTTTGTTAGTCATTCTCCCTCATTCTCTTAATATTTTCTAGCTGGTTAAATACCAGCTTTTTTGAATAGTAGTTACGCATTTAGTTAATTTCTGTCTAATGGAATTATTATTTGTTGGCAGTTCCTTACTGGACATTAGCTTTTTAAATATTCGCATAGAACTTAACTTTAGTGCTAAACAATACATTTTTTCCTTTTCAGTCGACGTGGCACAAGTCTAATGGAAGATGATGAAGAGCCAATTGTTGAAGATGTGATGATGTCATCAGAAGGTCGGATTGAAGATCTCAATGAAGGCATGGATTTTGACACCATGGACATAGACCTAGTAAGAAATTTACTTGTCTTTTTAGTGGAATTTGGATTTGTATTTCCACTTTTAAAGTAGGATATTTGAATCAAATTTTCCTTTTGCTGAAACAGAAAAATGATTCTTGTTGATCTCTGCATTCTTAACCGGCTGTGCCACGGTCTCTATACCAGTGCCATCTGCTCAAACTGTGATACAAAAAGCAAGAGCACTTCCTGTATTAATAATGTGAGAGAGTTTATCCTCTGTAAATTCTTACCCTTTGGGAGTTCAGCTTCATTTATTACAGTTTAAAAACTCTGGGTTTTTTCTGAAATTACAGTTAACATGTTTATTTGCTTGCTTTCTAAAGCCACCATCAAAGAACAGGAGAGAAAGAACGGAACTAAAACCAGATTTCTTTGACCCCGCTTCAATCATGGATGAATCGGTAGGTTAACTTACTTAAGAGGAAAATAATGTAAAATCAGTCTTAAGATTACAGTACTCTCTTACTATGAATTTTAAGTGGAAAGAATGCAATCTTTAGGTTGTCTTCATTAGCTTAGTTTGGCAGACTGGTACAGTCAGTGAAATATTTTATGCTGTAATTCAGCTTCATAAATCCTGAGGTAGTCAATGTTCTTTGCAAGTTGATAGGATTTTTGTTCTTAATACTTTATATGTAGCTATATAAGAATCAAGAGCCTTTGAATCTGAGCAGAAAACACATCTGGTATGGAAAAGACCCTTGCAGAAGTTAGGTAGCAAAGAGCTTTAAAAAAAAATAATAAAAAAAAATAAATATATATATATATATATAAAATTTGTGCATACACACTATTGAAGGCAAGTTTCCTGTTGTGATGAGCTTAATTGAGTGACTCTAATGTCATTACCAATTGTCATCATTGGATGGTTTGCCTTTTTTTTTTTTTAATTGGCATATTTAGTTTTGTGCATAAGTAAGATAATGGAGAAAATAGAGATAATACAGCTATCTGTTTATAGAGATGAGAGGTATTTTTTCTTTCCATGTAAAGTTTTAGGTCCAAAACATCCGAAGTCTGTAGTTTCTGCTTGCAGTTGCCCTTTTTTCCGACTTGATAAATCTGCAGTCTCTATTCTCTTTTAAAAATCTGCATGAGGGATTCCTTCTGTCTTGAACCACTTGTAATGTATGCAGCCAGTTTTGACCTTGTGTAGCTGGTACAAAATTACACTGGAAATAACAAGCTGCAGCAAGCCAGCAGAGGACAGTACAACAAGGCTTCCTGGGAATCTTGGACAGCTTGGTGGAATTTGGAAGACGGTTATGTATATGTTTTTTTAACAGTATTGTTGCAGAGTAAACCTGTTCTTGTTATGGGAGAAAGAAGTCTTAAATACTGTTTTAAATGCAAATACATATATTTTGTACCAGTAGGCCTTTGCTTTAGTATTAATGAATCAGATTAGGCTGTGCATCTGGCTGTTGTGTGTTCTGTTCTTGAAGTAACACTGAGAAAGTACATCACCTGTTTTCTGATGTTCTGTTTTAAAGTAGTTCTTCCCCTCCCCTTCTTGATTTTTAACAGATAGATCTGTGAAATACCAGTCTTTTTTTTTTTAATTACTCTGACAATGCTGAAAATTTGGCCTTCTACAGGTGCATTTCACTGATTTCAGCAACCTTTCAGCTTTTCAGTTTCTAAAACTGGTTAGTTTTAACAGCTTTACTGTTAGCTAGGTTTCTTTCCTTGGACTTGATTTCTCGCTCATCACCTCCCATGAGCCCAGGATTTGCTAGACCCTGCTCAGCTGCAGTGCGGCAGTGTCACCACACGGTGGCAGCCGGTTACAGGGACACTGCTGGGCGAGCTCTGGGAGCAGGACGGGCCGTACCGGGTCCCTCTGCGAGGAGGGAGCGGTGCTGGGCTCCAGGGGGACACCATCCAGCAAACCTTCCTGCCAGGCAGGACACCCCCAGCAGGGGTGCTGAGCCTGGAAGCAGGACTGCAGAAAACAGCTGGATCACAGAACACAGCTGCTCTTTAGCATAAACCCCACCTAAACGAATTTAACTGCCTACATGGGGAAAGCTCTGCTAATAGTTTAGGAGACAGCATGAATCCGGATTAAATCAGGGCTGAATTTATCAGTCAGTATGTTAAATGTTAAAAACCCACTTTCATAAACGCAAAAAACCTTCTCTGAATAAAGTTAATTTGCTTTATTCATTTAATTTATTTCAGAGGTCCATTATTCTTGGAGCTGTTGCACTTGTTTTCAATAGACCGAGACATAATAATGCCGTTTAATTTATTCAGATGCACATGTTTTATGATCAGAATTTTAGACTGTATTCTCGTATTTTGATGTGTCCAGTTATTCCTGGCACCAGGGCAGTTGTGTCTTCGTGTGCTGCTATACTGTATGATGCATCTAAAGTGAATTTAATACCAAGAAGAGTAGAAATTGGTTTGTAAACAGATAAATGTGAACGGCGGTTTTAAGGTTCAGGAAAATTAAGTCTCTCATGGCTCTTTCTGATTTTATAAAGTTCTATAAAAGCTAGGACAGTCACAAGAACTGGATCTTCTGGGTTTTTTGTTTTGGTTTTTTTTTTTTTTTTTTGGACACCAGTGGTGAAACCTACTTCCCATTGGCATAGAAAACTGTATGGATTGCTCCCACATGGGAAGTGGAAACTGATGCTTCGTTTCAGGAAAGCTTTTTCTTCACTTAATCACACAGTTTCCTGAAGTACCTGATTGTTTGATTTTTCACTGTCTTCCTGGCAGAGTTGATATATTCAATAGGAAATATTAGTTTGTCCCAGCTGGCTGCTGTGAGATGGCAGGTTGTTTTTATGAGCACATAAACAGCAGCAGCCAGCTGATACAGTCTTTTGTCCCAGACTTAGTTGCTGGAAACTACACACTTGATTTCATGTTAAGGCCTATAGAATGGCATTGTCAAAGAAATCTAAGTTAGGCAAGTAACTAAAATTATTTTGCAATTATTACCTAAAATAATTAGAGCACAGTCTTTATCGCATTCCTCCTGGATCTCGTTAATTTCAAGTGTGGGAAAAATACTTTCTAATGAATGAGGTGCCCTTTTCATATTATTACAGAAATCACAGGTGTGGTGAATCTAGTTTGGAAGAAAAATAAACTTATAATGCCTTAACATATCTTGAAGTGTCTTAAATCATATAGTAATTGCTTTGTTTCTGTTAAATGTGTAGTAGACTACAAATTGACACCATTTCTAACTTTTTTTTTAGGTTCTTGGGGTGTCAATGTTTTAATACCAGAGCAGCAAATAAATCAGTGGTGAAGTCATTTTCTAAGTGGAAGAGGAAGTTTTTCAATACAAAATTGTGGTAGATACAGTGAAATTCTGAACAGATTTTTCTCTAAGGAGAATGACATGCTTTCAAGATCAAGTGCATTGAAGGGGCAGTTTTGTTTGCCTGAAAAAAAGGAAATGTAAAGGACAAGTAAACAATTTGAGGATAAGCTACATTTTTTGTTGGGAAAAAAATAATCAATATTTTATTTATGTGGTATCAGTTTATTTCCGGATCATAAGAAGTATTCCCTCTGAGTTTTAATCTAACAGTCTGAGAGGTGTTTGGTACAGATTTGAGCCCCTCTCTATACATTTGCTGGCTATACTAAATAATCACGAGCTCTGCTGGATTGCTGTTTACATCCATGAACTGAAATAATAAATGGATTGGTTTTCTTACAGTTATAGAACCAGAAGAGTGTCAGTATTTTAAATAAAATGCAAACTTCAGCAGCAGAAGGTTTGTATTAACTAATTATGGAAAAAAATACATAAAGCAGAATTTTAACAGCTTTTTAATCTAAAATACACTTTTATTCCAAAAGCTTCATGTTAGCCTTCTCGGAAAGGTCCATAAACTATGAACTACCAGAAAGTAACAATCTCAATCATGCTTGCCCATTACCAACCCTGAAAGTTTGCTTGTCCTTTAAGAAAAATGTAATGTTGTGAAATTCCTTCCAGTAGTGCCACTGTATTTTGTCTCCAAATAAAAGAAGCTTATTGTAGTATGTTTGCAGAAAAATTCTAAACAAAAATTATACAGCTTATTAGAGTGTGGGAATAGGGATCTAAATTTTAAATAAAATTATATATATATATAAATTGGTGCTGATTTTATAATTGCGCAGTTTGTTTAGTTTTTTCTTACTTTTAAATTCCAACTTAAAATTATGAGGTTTCAGAAATATATTGAAAGTTTAACAATGTTTAAAAATAGAAGAGCATGAGAATTCATGCTTTAAAAATGATTTTTAAATTTGTATTTTATATTGTTTTATCTATCTGTCTTTGCAAGCAGTCTTCAGGTTAAAGATACTTCTAACAGGTTACAGTACATTTCCTCTGTATGTAAATTAGATTGGATAATAGAAATTCATAAACAACCCATAATATTCTTTGAAAGCTAAGCTTTAAACTTCATTTTGTGTCCATTCACAAATAAATTAAATTTGGTCTAAAACAGAAAGTGGATCTATGCCATTTTGACATCGACTCATTTTGCAAGGCTTAGGCAGCTAGACATCATTTTAAAGGAAATATTAACTTATATTACATATGTATATTTTTTGTCACTTGTCTCTCAGTTCTTGAGGTATATTATTTTAATCATTCCATGCCTTAATATGCTTGCAATACAAGGATCTCCCCAAATGGGTGAATACAAAAAAGGCTTCCTGTTTTTAGACTCAGAAATTAAACATTCGGCTGTGGTAGCCAAAAACCATAGATTATCTAAAGGATCATGATAAAATATAAATATTTTACTAAGTCATGGGGTAACAACAAACTCAAAACTAGATCTGCCTAATTCATTTTACATAAATAAATACTCTCATGTCTAAAAGTACTGCCTATATTGTTTTTCACACCACTGCATTTAATAGAACTGCTGAGAGGACTGTATATATGATTTTAAACTTAAGTTGATTTTTCTTACTCTTGAAGGAGTGTTTCTTTGTGAAAGCAGTTCTTACAGCTTTGTTTTCAACCAGCTAAAAATGTTTTATATATTTACCTTAACCTGTTGTCCTCCACATTCTATTGTCCTAATTGTACTGTTTTCTGATTTGTATTTATGTCTTGAGACAGTAACTTTTTGAATAAAAATAAACCTACAGTATGTTGTATGTTTGATCTTTTTAAATCGGGGCTAGGGGAGGACAGTGAAGAAAGGGGTATGAGTAATGCAAATGTTATGTTTATAGAAATCAAAATCTTTTTCCATGTCTTTTAAGTGTTTGTCTCAGAGTTGGGATAATGTATGAAAAACTGCACTGTTTTATATTTGTAATAAATTGTACAAGTTTTTAAAATGTGAATAAAGCACTAATTGGGTAATAATTTAAAGTAGAAAAGTTAATGCAATCATGATTGTTTAAATATGCTTTAATTTGAGATAAACTTGTTAAAAGAATTAGTGTAAATACAGAGTGAGTTTTTCAAGAGGTTAGTACCTGCAAATAAAATTTTTAAAATTTGTATAGAACTTTTACATGCCAAGAAATCAATGGTTAATTATTTTTGTGTTATGTTTTTTAAAGGTGTATCAATAGGCTTTCTGTTGGTTTCTTTTTTCCTATTAACTTTTATCTGAGATGACTCAAAATGCTTTTTATTCAGTCGTTGGCGTTACTGTATATAGTCCGGTTGCAATGCCACTGAAAGTATGCTACTGTCCATGTCTGACATTGATCATACACCTGATAAAACATTTGAAGCTCAGTTGGCGAGACAGCAAGGAAACGAGGGGGAAACACTAAACATCTCTTCCCCTCCCACTCCCCTCAGCTACTGAGCAGCTCTGGCTGTGGCGAAAACTCTTCTCTGTTACAAGGCGTTTTAAAGGGAGAGATTTTAAAATCTTAGAGGTAATACTAATCTTTGCTAATGTAACTTTGGATTTTATTTTTATTATTATTATTATTACAAATGTTCATTCCTGTCTCTAAATCCTGCTGTAAGTTCAATAGTATCTTGTGGAAAATGGTTTTAGTAGGTTCTAAGTTTATAACACAAGAAAAATACCTTCACTATACAATGTAAAGTCTGTTCTAGTTAAACCGGTTTGGTACAAAAACATGTAAATGAAAGAAATTTGAGTTTTGAAGATATATGTGATAAAAATGTAGAAAACAATGAACAATTTGGAGAAAGTAAAGCCTGTCCTCTAGTTTACCAGAGGCCACAGAGAAGGAATTGGCACAGTGAAATTCAAGGGAATAGTCTTCACGTATTCTGTAAAAAGTATTTCTTGTTATTAAACAACCAAAGACAATACGTAAGAAGTTAGTGATTGCTGTTGTTTGTTTGTTTGTTTCTCCTTTGGATGGTGTGGTGCTGATTCCTGTAGCTTGTTAGAGCCAGTAAATCCCCATCTTCCCTGATGTTGGTGTAACTAAGTAATTGCCTCTTTGAAATTTACGGCTCTCTGTTTTCCTAATAATTTACACATACACTTACCCTAGCATGGGATTTCAGGATACCAGTGCTATGAGCTTTAGCTTCCTACCCATAAAAAATCCACTGAATTTTTTGATTCACGGTAATGTTTTGCTACTTTTTGAACCTATAGTTACCTTTTATTTTTTTAACAGCCTGGTGAGTATCATGGGCTTGTTCATTCTTTCTTCTGATAAAAACACAATTTGGTTCTTGAAAAATAATGCCCATTCTAACTTGAGCACTTAATTTTTTTTTTTTAATCAGTTTATGATACTGATTGCAGCTTATGCCATTTCCTCATTTTTCGTAATCCTAAGAATCTCTAGTACTGAGATTGTATGCCAATGAATATCAGAAATTAAGCAAAAGGGATCGTATCTTTGATGGAGGTGGGTGATGACAAATTCATGGAAAACAAGGTAATCTGGGATGATATTGTATAATAATTCTATTTAAAAGTAACATTTTCCTGGGGGGTTTTTTGACATTTCCTGTCATTTTCCTCAGCTGTCTTTCTCTCCTGTATCCCTTCTTCACGTTGCTGAGCTTTCTTGAATGTATTCCTATGATTAAATCTTAAATTTTATATTTTTTAAAAAGTCTTTAACAGTTAGACTTTGAATAATTACTCATTTTGTAAATAAGTGCCTTCCAACTGGAGATTCAATTGCTTTTTTTCCTGCGTTTTTTGTAGCTGCTGCCAGATTTCATAGATGTACATCGTAGTGGCATTATGCTATAACCCAGAAAAATGATCTGCAGCACTTCAGAGCAGTTGGGTGGCTGTGACAGAACCCCGTGTGAAAACTTCCCTCTTCATCTAGAGTGTGTGTGCGGTTCTTTGCAGTGTGACCATGTGTCCCCAAATGGATTGTGTGATTTCTGCGAAGCTTGTCTGAGCGTGTTTGGTTGGATATGCAGAAAAGGCCATCGTATTTTCTCTATATTAACTACTTTTGTCAAAGAAAAAGCTGCAGTTACAGGTTTTAAAAGTGAAGCTTGTGTTCAGTGGATAACAGCTTGAATTCTGCACTTCTAGAAATACTGTTCAAAAAAAATTTATGTAGTGAACTGTAAATCAGAATAATAAAACCTCTGGGGGTCGTGGAACATCTCAAATTAGGAAGGGGATGTGAAATTGGTAGTTACTTCATGAACACGTTCAAGTAACAACAAGGTTTTGGAGAAATGGATTAATTAGTTTAACGAAGGCAGTTTATTTTGTTGAGGTGGGTAGTGACAGGTGAGATCAATGTGAATGGCAGCAGTTTGTTTCAAATGTGGTAGGGTATGGGCATCCTTCGAATGCTCTTTTGAGTAGGGGACTAACGACCAATATCCTGTTTATTTCCACCTTTAAGAGTGGCTTTGAGAGAGCTGCTTCTCCCCCCAGTACTAATATTGTTATGATATATTTGTCAGAATTTTAGCAGGATGCTGTCCTTGTGCTTATTCTAGACTCCTCATTCCATTTGCTTGACCTTAACTTCACATTTTTCCCTTGTACCCTCCTGCTGAAATGGGCTGTGAGGTGTCAGCCGGCGCCGTGGGACGGCGGTTCCTTGGGAATGGGCGCGCAGGCTGTGCCCTGGTTGGTGCAGTTCATGGTTGGGTTGGCTCAGAGCTGTGGGGCGTGTGATGGGTCTTCATCCCAACCTCCTGATCTCGTGCTGCTCAGCCTGAGTATTTATCTGACAGCGCGTCAGCCTTTGAGTGCTGTGTTGGCAGCTCCACGTGAAACCTCTTCTTCCCCACAGCAT